TGAACTATAATATATGAAGCAACTTTGTAATTAAAATTTATTCAATAAATATCAATGATGATCAAATAATTGTTATGATAACAAAATGTCAAAGTGGTTTGGCACTTAAATGGCTTCATGGTGCCAAGAAATATATTATTTGCATGATTAAAATTTAAAAAATTTTCATTTATCAAGGCTTATGAACAATTTCCTGAACTTAAAAATGAATAAATGTAAAAAAAGATATTATTTGAAGATCTTTCTCTTATATATTCAAACAATTGTCAATAAATTATTTGTGACTTTATGTCCTGTGACTTTTTGTACTGTGACTTTCTGTCCGTTTACCCTATTCATAGTATAGCCCAGTGTTTCTGTTAAAATAAAGTTCTGGTCATGGTTAAAATAATGTCAGAATTTGTTTAGTTGTAAAAACAATTACCAAGTAATAATCCACTAAGAACTTCACCTCCGGCAAAATTCAGGTGATCGGAGGGCAATAAATTGCGTAATCGCACACCTGTGAATCCACAGTCACAACTCTAAGGAAATAATGACCGGAAAATCGGACACACATAATTTCACTGTGTAATTTAGAAGCAAACTTTAGCAAAGAAATGTTTCTTGTAATATCATGATCATTACCAGATTTTACTTTTTAAATTAAAAGAAATGTCGAAAAAAAGAAAAAAATATTTTCTCAATCAAATACAATAAAAAAAATACAACTATTTCAAGTAGTTTTTTAGAAAAAAGAATTAATTGGATCTGAAATAAGTTTTCCTATTACTTTTCTTGATTAGCTATCGAGGTTATTCATCCCTGACTTGTCTACATGTTGTAGAATAATTATCGACGAGAATCTCATTCCGGGCCGCGTTTTTTAACGGGATTTCACGGAGTTGCCAATCTCTGTGTATATATGTCTCTGTTTTAAGGCGAAGTGTACGTAATTGCACGCCTCTAGCGGAATTTAGGATAAAAAACGTGCGTCGTTAGTTACGCGGGTTATCTCACCTACTCCAAGAAAGGAAAAATGGGCACATGAAAGAAAAATGACTTCGTGCGGTCTATCATGAATCCAAACAAGTATTCATGTGCTATCTCAAAACTTCAAAGAAATTATTAGAATGACTCCAATCAGAAATCTGAGTATCCTATTGTGAGTTAGTCTGACTTTATTACCACTGTTTTTGTTTTAGACACGCAGGAGCAGGTACACAATACGACTCGTGTTTTTTTTCAACTGAAGGTAAACACGCATAAACAACAAAATTATAACCAAATAAACAAATAAACCAGTGACAATTCTGCTTCTATTCGTATCAAATTCATTAAAATCAAACCAGAATTGACCCCACAATATTTTTTGAAAAACCATAGTTTTGAATGAAATTCACAGTGTAGCGTAAAATTGTAGGTAACGAATAATTATATTGCATGTGAATTTGTGTGTTGAACAAGAAAGACGTTGGCATGTCCGTTTTTATGCAATTGAAAATTTTATGATGTTTTATATTTTATTATTTATGTAAAAAGTATAAAAGATACTAAGGGGTAATCGACAACTAGTACAACATAATGAACATTTATAAGCCGAAGGCGAAGAAAAAGCCAACAGCAAAAAAAAACCCATCAGATTCCGTCCACAAAACATTACACACTCAGAAACTAAGAATTGAGCACTATTACATTTATCTCAGAATAAGTAAAATATATGTCATCCAAATCTCAGTTTTCAAGGTGCAGAAAATAAACAGGTGTCTTCTATTCCGTCCGCAATTTTTGGGGAAAGTAAAATCTAAATTTAGAACCATGGTTGAAACTGAAACTACACATGTATGATAAAAATAGAACGTGTTTTTTTTCTTTATCAAATTCCAATTTCGAAGGGATAGCGAAATATGTTTTCTTTTGTGTATCATTCAGCAGTAGTATAAGGTAGGGGAAGAAGGGGTAGGGGTGAAGAAAATAAGGTCTACAATGTCGGGGCTTTTTATAACCGACTATACGATATGGATTTTTCTCATTGTTGAAGGCCGTATGGTTGCCTATAATAATTGCTTACATCCACATCATTTAAGGTAGCTGGGGTGTTTAAATGTTGGACGATAAATTTTTCTTAATATTTTTAAAACAAAAAAGTATTTTTGCAACATGATCAGAACGGACGCTCAGAAAAAGACACCCGATCTACCTTAAACTGTGGCAGATAGTTGTCTCATTTGCAATCATACCACATCTCCTTATTTTCATATTATATTAACAAAACTGCAATTCATTTGCATTATATACAGGGACAAGTTATATCAAGAACTCCGATCTGTTTTACTTTGCTAAAATTCATATGCGGGTTCTTCTTTTGACCTTATAACAGCCATAAAAATTCTCAAGATAATATGCAGATGCAGTTTTCTTATTTTTTGGGAGTCGTGCATGTGGATATTCAACAAATAATGGTACAAGAAATTATTTCCTTTTTTACTTAAAATCTCCAGCAAACATTATATTATGCTTTATCGTGTAGTTAAAGAAAAGGGAAAGCGATTGAGACAGGAAATTTTTAAAATAAAATTGAAGAGTTGTGTCACGTGCACGTGTGTGAACCTGACAAATAAAATGGGTTTTGTGCGCAATACCTCGAATAGCGCCGGAAATGGTGAGGATGAAAAGATGCAGAAAATTATATACACTTTTTTAAAATACAAACATGCAGAAATAAGATTTTAAAAAAGACGTGTATACGCGATCCCAATATTATAACCGATTATTAAAATACGTATAGAATCATTCTGTCAACGCTGTGTTAACCGGGACAATTTCCAACTTGATATTTGATTCATAATTATTAGAACAATACAATATAAAAATAAGAAGATGTGGTATGATTGCCAATGAGACAACTCTCCACAAGAGTCCAAATGACACAGAAATTAACAACTTTAGGTCACCGTACGGCCTTCAACAATGATCAAAGCCCATAGTCAGCTATAAATACAAGCATTTCAAAAAAGATGTGGAACCCTGTCTAATTAAGAAAAGATGGAGTTAAAGTCTATACAGTAACTTTCTTTCACTTGCAGTATATTTATTTGCCAATTTGCTTTTTTTTTGGCAGCAGAATTATCCTTAAAAAATACTCAGTTTATTTCCTTATCAATTGATTACGCTTGAGCATTTGCAATAATTAGGAAAATGGGTTATAAATAATTCGTAAATATAAATCAACATGTAGACATCTTACACGTTCAGGTATTTCACATCCAATATTTTTTGGTAATATTCTTTACAAAGCACAAAAATGTCGGCATTCACCTCAAAAGCTAACCAAAACTTTAAACAGACTTATTCGGAAAGGATATAGTTACGATACTGTTGTCAGGTAATTAAGGATTGCATATTTTGGTATTAATATTGATTCACTCATAGGGTCTTTGCATCGGAAATAAACACTAATATTCTAAAACCAGTTGTTGGCATGATACGGGTTATGTTCTTCTCATATATTTTATGATTGTATGATACTAAACCCCTAACGGGAGGGATTGTACTTGATTTTCATATGATGAAGACATAATCTTTCAATCAGTTTAATTGAGGTCTGGAGCTGGCATGTCAATAACTGCTAGTAGTCCTTTGTTAATTTATGTATCATTGTCTTTTTGTTTAGTTTCTTTTGTTACCTATTCTGACATCGGACTCGGGCTTCTTTTAAACTGAGTTATACTGTGCGTATTGCTATGTGTTTCTTTATTCTACATTGGGTAGAGGTATAGGGGGAGGGTTGAGATCTCACAAAACATGTTTAACCCCGCCGCATTTTTGCGCCTGTCCCAAGTCAGGAGCCTCTGGCCTTTGTTAGTCTTGTATATTTTTTTAATTTTAGTTCATTTATATGTTTTGGAGTTTAGTGTGACGTCCATTTTCACTGAACTAGTACACAATTTTATTTAGGGGCCAGCTGAGGACCACCTCCGGGTGCGGGATTTTCTCACTGCGTTGAAGACCCATTGGTGGCCTTCGGCTGTTGTCTGCTCTTTGGTCGGGTTGTTGTCTGCTCTTTGGTCGGGTTGTTGTCTGCTCTTTGGTCGGGTTGTTGTCTCTTTGACATATTCCCCATTTCCATTCTCAATTTTATACACACTCACGATTTTGTTTCGACACTGTACGGTATAATAGCGTTATAGAGTTATATCTAGTAGAAATTGTGATGACGTTACAGTAGACATCAATAACGTCGCCGAATGTTTTTTATTCTTTCCGCTAAAAATCAAACTTCCACAGGATATAGCTTGAAAACTAGCACGGTTGCTAAGGACTTTCTTTGCACCAATGGGTTCGTCGTTCATTTTTGAATCGCATATCGATTTTTAAAAAAATTCTGTGGACCAACGAATTAGAAAATCTTGATAAAGTAAAAATATCTGCCGATTTTTATGATTTTCCCTATATATCCTTTGTATTTTTGGCGTATCATGCTGTTAATTTCAACAGCTTGTATCTGAAAAACGAAAACGGTTGCCCCTTTTTTTTATTTTATTGTCTGATGTATTTTTACAAGCAGAATCCACATGTAAAATTAAAAAAAAATCTGTGGAGTAGTAAATTACGTACACTTCGCCTTAACTGAATATTCAAGAAGAGACGGACAAGCACAATCAACTATTTCTATATCAACCTTTTTCTGATTAGATGAAGATATTCCTGTTAATGATGATAAAGGTGGTTGGTTACGTGGATATGATTAACACATCAACTCAGCCTCAGTATTCACCTCTTAAAATTTCCCGCCATTTACTGTAAAGAAAATGCTAAACCAAGGAAGAGAGATCATAATATAGTGGAAATTAATTTATTTTATTCTGCATGTCCTTCTCTTGTATCTCATTCTTGTGTTTATCGTGGAATAATTTTCAACTTACTGAGCACGGGAAAACTATAAATATTAAAAACATTGAAGAGTGTATGTGGCCGAGTTTACGGGATTGCCACACTCGTTATACTGCGCATTTATTAGCATATCCGGTTGTAAACATAAAAACTCTCGTTTCTTCAGTGGTGTGTAGAAAAATCAAATGGGACTCCTTAAACTGGTATGTATGATTAAAATTAAGTGGTTTCAGATTTTAAGGATAATAAATTCGACAAGTTTACATTCAACTTTAAACTGATTCTCTTTTAGTTAATTCAAAAAACGGAAAAATTGTCCATTAAATGAATTTGTCCTTGACCTCTGAAGGACATCTTTACATCACACCTCCACTTCCATCCAATGAAAAACGAATGATAAGCTCTTGTAAACAATATATATAGCTAGGAATTTTTTTCATACTTTCCATTACTTTGAGAATTAAACATGGTGAGTTACTTTCAGTAACATATTTCAATGTAGTCCCAGTCTGCATTATGATTGTCTTTCAAAGATATGAAATGCAGCTAAGCTGGATAATTATTATGCCAGTTACTGTATAAATGATTATGTAGAATTCCTTATTTTTACAATATTAGCTTAAGACATTGGTCATGTAAACTTGAACAGTATTTCATATGTAGAAAACAGGAACTGTGATGGCCTCTAAAATCTTGTAGATAATTTTGTACTCTTTTGGTGTCACTCTGGACATTGGATGGTCACTCATGTAATTTAAATTGTCTCACATGTAATAAATAGATCTTCTCACTTCTACTTTACTTACATGTATATATAGGTGGCAACTGAATATAAAATTAATTAAAACTGAAAGAATCAGGGATAAACTCTGAAGTATTGATATTAAAAGAACTTTCTAAATCAAGCCATTCAAGGTGTACTGATCCAGTATAAAAAAACAACTCTTTTATTAGTTTTTGTGTTGCTTCTTTCTAGCAGTCACACTGAATTAAATAATAAGATTGATATGTTTAAAGATGAGAATATAATTCTTTTATGTAAATACTTCCTGAAGTTTTAAGGTAATATTTACAATTGTCTTTAGAGGGCCGCATCGAAAAGTCATTTGACCAGGTACATGTAATTAACATGCATGTTTTGGTCAATAACTTGATGGCTATAGTGTTATCAGTCATTTTAAAAGGTCTACCAGTGATAATAAAATTGTTTAATATCAAAGGAAATTGAAACATACGAAAATGAGCCTATACAAGTGTTTACATTGTATAGCAGAAAACGAAAATTATACCAGTATTGACAATGATTGATCCCCATTTCTAAATTTTTATTTTGTTTTCTTACAGAATGGTTTTTTAACATGGCATTGCAAATCACACATTTTGCATGCACAATGTAAATATATACAAAAACAAGTAACAAGTAAACATACACTGAACGAATAAGTTTAATCTATGACACAATATAAATACAATATTAATAATAAAGATGTAGAACAATGTCAAAAAGACAACTTTAACATGACCGTAAGCAATAAAACTCGCAAAATTAGGATATACATGTGCATATAACTGTGAACTGGCAAATTATCATAAATAAATGCTATTTAGAAATAAAAGGCATTGTGGGGTACATGCCAATGAGCTGGGATTTCACCAGCGCTGTTCATTTTGTTAGCAATTTGGTTGCAAATTTGTAAGAACTTGTATTGTTTGATTGCTGTATAGGGTCTTATTAAAATTCTAAGTTTACTCCACAGGTATAATACGTACATGTATTTATCAGTGAAGATATAAGTCAGTGTATAGTTTTTGTACATGTATGTTTCTTCGTCTTCAGAGGTGTGTTAATATCCTTACACATATTACCAAAAGATCAGCACTACTGCACTACAGATCACTGACAGCAGCCTCATTCAAGGTAAAGTAGAATTGAAAATAAGAAGATGGGGTATGATTGCCAACATTTGTACTGGTTGTAAACATTATCATTCCCTGATGAAGAAAGAGCTTTAAATACCATATATAGATATATGTACACTGTATGCAAAATAAAAATATACTTTAATAGTTATTTAGTTAGGCTGTTGTCTGCTCTTTGGTTGGGTTGTTGTCTCTTTGACATATTCCCCATTTCTATTATCAATTTTATTTACATAAAGACACATATAAAACATGTAGATCAGGAAAGAAAGTACAAGAACTATTTGTTTACATGACAAAAGTTGATTCTGTTAATTTGCAAAGGTACATTTATAGGTACAAATGTACATGTACCAATTTTTGTCAATTTGGTGAAATGGTATTTTAGTGGTGTATTTTTTTTTTTTGGGGGGGGGGGTTTCTTGATTTCATGGTCTAATGGTCATGATGGTGTTAACAAATTCTGAATACATGTATATCTAGTTTTTCGTTGACATGCACATTTATGGTTAACCATTGCCCACAAAATCCAGGAAACTAAGAGTGACTACCACATAAAAAATAAAGAATTTTTAGTATTGTTCATTCCAAGAACACATCTTCAAAGTAGGTAAAACAGAGAATACAATGTAAACACATGGAATATAATTATATATACATGATTCATTGTAGAACTAATAAAATATGTCACATTTTAAGGTACAATAAGATTCTAAAAATAATTTTTGTGCTTTCTTATTTTTTGTTTTTCAGTATGATGACTTAAAAGTAACTTTAACAGACAAAAAACAAGAAAAGCCAGACCCAAACAATCTACTGTTTGGACACAATTTTAGTGATCATATGCTAAAAGTGGAATGGACAAGCTCTGATGGATGGGGAAAGCCGATTATCTCCCCTTTAACAAATTTATCAATACATCCTGGTGCTAAATGTCTACATTATGCCATAGAAGTAAGATGTTATATTGGTTTAGTCTCAATTTAGAAGGAGGATATATCAGAAAAATGTATTGTTTTGTATCTAAGCTATTAGATGTTAAATGAATATGAATAAATATAGTACAGATAATTTATTGAAAAAGTATTGTCATTTCATAAAAATTCCCACCCAGCATTTAGATATTTATCAACCAAAAACATTAAGTAATCTTTTAATTGTATGTTTCAAATCATTTGATTTTACAAAACAATTTAAGATATCCTTGTATAAATTATTTATGTAAATGTATATTTAAAAAGAAGTAAGTAACTATATATTTAGATTATTCATTGTAAAGAGATGTAATTAAAACCATGAAATCATACGACATATACATGTATGTACATTATACATGTAAAATTGAGAATGGAAATGGGGAATGTGTCAAAGAGACAACAACCCGACCATAGAGCAGACAACAGCTGAAGGAATGTACTTGAAATGTACAACACAAAGTTAATTGATACATGAACTATACTTTACTAATCTGTAAATATTATTCTACTCTTTTTTTACAATTTGACAGTTATTTGAAGGAATGAAAGCCTACAGAGGAGTAGATGACAAAATAAGAATGTTCAGACCATTCGAAAACATGAAGAGAATGAAATCTACTGCAGATAGAGCATATCTACCAGTTAGTATAAGAAACAGCAACAATGAAAATTTAATAACACACATAAGTTGGTACTTAACAATTTTTAGAGCTCATTATAATTATTTTAGCTATTTATAGCTGTTTTTAATCAAGTGATTACCTCAATCTATGTTAGATTTATAATGACACATGAACGTTGGGAGTAATATGAATAAAAATACAGTTGTTAACAATTCCACAGATTTTAATGTTAATTTACTAACAATTTACTTATACTTTATTGATACTCACTACATAAATTATAAGATATCAAATGAATATTTTATGGTTTATTAAATGGAAGGATTGTAAAAAAAATTGTTAAATATCTTTTAGTTTTCTATACAAATGTATAATTTAAACAGACTGTTGCTGCATAATTAAGAAACAGTTGTCAATATATTACAGTTAAAGTAATTATTATTGCATAATCATAGTCAGCTATATTTTTATTATTATGTCAGCAAGGTACTGTGTATAATTTAAATTGTCCTTCCAAATAATAATATATGTGAAAATTCAAGAACAGAAATCTCATTTAATAAATCAAAGGGAGATAATTTGTTATAGTTCCAATGGGACAGAGTGCAGATTTATGGAACTTGATGAAAGTTGTTAAATACACATGTATATATCAAGATCATGATTTTTGTCAACATCACACAAGCAAAAGGAATCTTCCAAAACATTTGTCAAATTTTGATTAACTGAAAAATTGGAAGTTTCTGATTTCTCTCCTGTTCTATGATTTTAGATGTTTTTATATTAATATCTGCATTTGATCTTCTACTTACTGTTAAATGAGATAATAGATAACAGTATATCACATACCTAAGTATGTGTACAGACAGGATTCTTTCACAAGTCATTTAAAAATACAAAAACCCATCAACTGTCTCACAGCAAGATTGAGATGGGAAGGTCAATGGCTCTTTTAAAAAAACATCTTACAAATATAATGTACTGTAAGTTATGCTGATTGAGGAACAAATGTATTTTCATGATTATTTGATTTCATGGTTTTGCCAAATTGATTGTTGGTTGCTTAATGTCCAGTGGCAAATATTTCATGCATATTCAGGACAATGGTTCTCCCCCAGATTTTTGGATAGCGCTGTTATGTTTTTTTTTATAGTCTGTAGATCTTCATTGCACATTTGAATTCATTTTAAAACTTTACCCTCAAAATCCAAAATAATTGGTATCTCACGAAAAATAATGAATCCCCAGAATATTGTAGATGTTGACATAGGTAGAAAGTGGACTGTGGCTTTAAAAAAATGATTTAATAGACGAGTGTTCTTGTTTTAGGACTTTGATGCAGAGGAGCTTGTAAAATGTATGAAGAAGTTATTACAGATTGACAGAGAATGGGTTCCCTACTCAACCAAAAGTTCATTGTATCTTAGACCTACATTTATAGGTACTGAGGTAAGGATTGGTAACTGGTAACCTTTGTATGCACTGCTAGCCAGTGCTATCAATCTGAGAAGTAGAAAACACTGTTCAAATGTGATATCTTATCCTATAGTTCATGTTAAAGTTATGTCTGCCTTAATTGATAGTCTTATTTTAAAAATTAATTGAATATAAGAAATTTTACTAATTTTTGTTGTCTTATTAATAGTAAGTAAATGTATTGAAATGTCAGTACAAAGGCAACAAAGTTATCACAGTGAATGTGTTGCTGATGTATGTTTCAATGAAAAAATACAATGTCAATGGTAGGCCTGGCTTAAGGCATTATACAGTCAGTCAGTGACTGTATGTCACATACATTTACACAGTTAACACATTTTGACTGCTCAAATTTAAGAAAGAGTGATATCACATTGATTCTGAATGATTCAAGACCCAAATAAATGATATCTTTTGAATATCATACAAAAAAATATTTTAAAGTGATTTACTTTCACTATGAAAATCCTCCCCTGCCCCCCTACATAAAGATTTCAGAGTTCTCGAAATCTTTTTTCCCTAGTGGTCCTTGAAGAAAATCTGCTGGTCCACACTATTATTTCCATTGCGAAATACCAAAATTGTGTCGGCCATATGCAAAATTTCGTGGTCAAAACCTTTGGACCACCACTTTTCTAGAACTCTGAGATTAAATTATCATGGATTGCTTATGGTTGGTGTAAATATTTTGGATTTTGCATAAAGCATAAAGTAGAAGGCCATAAAATGTGATTCATTGAATTGAGTAAACTAGATAAAACAAATACATGTAAAACTGTTGAAATTTAGAAAACAATATTTTAGATATAGGTCCTAGAATACTGCAAATTAATTTTTTCTGATTATATCCAAATCAACATTTTACAAATAATTCTGTTGGTTAATATTAAATTAAATTTATGATATATCACTAATTCAGAGAATTTTCTTTTTCAAAACTGAATCATTTAAAGCAAATAGTTGTAATCCTTTTGGAAAGTGACCATTTAGCATTACTTAATATTTTGATTTTCATTTGATTTTTTTTTCTTTCTTTTCACGCATCCTTTTTGAAATCAGTTCATTCATGGAAAAGCAAATACAAAAAAAATAATAATTGTTGAAGAAAAATTTTACTTGCAGCCAACATTGGGAGTGACCAAGTCAGCTTCCGCCTTACTTTATGTAATTACAGGCCCTGTAGGACCATACTATCCCACGGGGATGAATCCTGTTACTCTATTAGCAGATCCACAGTATGTTAGAGCTTGGCCTGGTGGATGTGGAAACTTCAAAATGGGATCGTAAGTAGAGGGAAGTGGATTGATACTTGTGGACCTTGTAGGCAAATATTTATGTAAAACATAATCAAAAATAGGAATAATTATTTAAAAGACTCTGTCAGACACATTCAACAAAATAGATAAGTAACTTTGTATCTGGTAAATTAACACATCCCCTGATAATAAGTGAAAATCTCCAAAAGTCAGAAATAAAAATTATTCTCTCATGGAAACCATTAAGGATATTTAAAAAAAAATTTCCATTTACAATAAATAACATGAATAAAGGACAGCTTTGAAATAGATGCATATACAAAACAAATTCATTACCCTTAATATGATAAAGAGTGGACATTTGTTCATTTAAGCCTCAGGTTGAAAGCATTTTATTTATTTTTTGATACATTATATAGACAAAAGAACTTTTTATTTACCAATCTATGTATGTATATTAGTGTTAGCCAGAATGTGGGCATGAAAAAAAGCTGATAAACTATATAAATAGGGAAAATATTTGACTGGATTTTGCACTGAATTACTTTAGTTACAGCCAGGATAGAATAAAAAGCTATTATGAAAAAAATAATAAGGAGAGTTTTTACATGTTATTAACTGCTAAAGTTTTTAAAACTAGTATTTAGGTTTTAAGTCTTTTTATGTAATAAAACAACCTCTTTTTCTGATCATTACACAATGTTTGGTTAAGGAGGATTTGTGCTCTTACAACAGACAGTTCTGACTGTATTTTTAAATGAAAAATAGTCAAAAGACATTTTAATTTTTATTTCAGTAATTATGGACCAACAATCAAAATTTCTGCAGAAGCTGATAAGAAAGGATGTCAACAGGTTCTGTGGTTATATGGAGATGATCATCAGCTGACAGAAGTAGGGGCCATGAACTTGTTTGTATACTGGATTAACGAACAGGGAGGTAGGTTATGTATATTAGGATGAGGACAAAGACCATAAGGCTTTCTAATCGTCAGTTTGTTTCCTTGTTCTAATAAATAATTTAGAGAGTATCTAATGAATAAATGATTCTTGAATGAAAGAACTAATATTTTTATATTGACAAAGGCCACCAATCAATTTTTGTCTCGCCTTGATGGAGTCAAAAAGCAGGACATAGGTATGCTGTTTCCTGTGGAGGCAACAATGTATTAGTTTGTGATTAGGTCTAGTTTATGGTGAACCACTAGTAGTAGGTATGCAGTTGTATTAGCATTTGCACATCTCATTTCCATGGAGATTATTTGGCCCTGTCCCCTCAGTCATGGTCTATTGACTTTGAAACTTTTGCTTAGTTTACATGTAATAGTTCAAGGGGAACCATTAGTGTTAGGCCAATGTTAATTGGTATGCAGTTGTATAAGCATAAACACATCTCATTTCCATGCAGAATATTTGGCCACACACTCTCAGTCATGGTCTATTGACTTTGAACTTTTTGCTTAGTTTACATGTTTCAGTTTGTGATTAGATCAGTTTAAAATGAACCGCTAATGTTGAGTCAATGTTAATTCGTATGCAAATTAATTGGCATTTGCAAGTCTCATTTCCATGGAGATTATATAGCCCCGCCAACTCATCATGGTTCATTGACTTTGAAACTTTTACATAGTTTACAAGTTAATTTTTGTGTTTAGGTTTGTTTAAAGGGAATGACGTATGATAAGTCAATGGTATTTGGTATGCAGTTGTATTAGCATTAGCGCATCTCATTTCCATGGAGATTGTTTAGCCATGTACCTTCAGTCATGGTTCATTGACTTCAAAATTGAGAATGGAAATGGGGAACGTGTCAAAGAGACAACAACCCGACCAAAGAGCAGAAAACCACCAATAGGTCTTCAACACAGTGAGAAAATCCCTCACCTGGAGGTGGGCTTTAGCTGGCCCCTAAACAAAAATATGTAATAGTTCAATGAAAATGGACGTCACACTAAAATGAATATTTGCATAACATTTATGTTCAAGTATTGCTATTTTAATTTCAACATTTGCATTATCAAAATTACAAAAAGGGGAGACATATCTCTGTGTTAACAGTTTATTTGAAAGATTATCTGATTCTGTATATATGTAGTATGTCAGTGATTATTTTTATGCCCCCGCCGTAGCGGTGGGGGCATTAAGTTTTACCCTTGTCCTTCTGTACGTATGTACGTCCCAAAATTGGTTTCTGTTCTCTAACTTGAGTTTGCCTCAACCAAATGTTATGAAACTTATGCACAGTGCTTATTACCACAAAACACAGATCAAGTTTAAATTTTGGTGGCGTCACTTTAACCGTTCTAGAGTTATTCCCCTTTATAAATTGAAAAATTGCAAAGTTTTGTTTCCGTTCTCTTAGTTAAGTTTGCTTCAACCAATTATTATGAAACTTATACACAATGCTTATTACCACAAAACACAGATCAAGGTTGAATTTTGGTGGCATCACTTTAACTGTTATAGAGTTATGCTCCTTTAAAAATGGAAAAATTGCAAAATTTTTAGTTTCTGTTCTCTAACTTAAGTTTGCCTCAACCAAATGTTATGAAACTTATACATTATGCTTATTACCACAAAACGCAGATCAAGTTTGAATTTTGATGGCGTCTCTTTTACTGTTCTAGAGTTATGCCCCTTTATAAATGGAAAAATTGCAAAAAAAATTATTTTCTTCTAAATATCAAGTTATGTTTAAAATTGGAGTTATCTTCCTTTGTCCATGATTATAATTGAATCAACTACAATCAATGATTTATACAATGCAATGTTTAATTTTGACTTCCACTGATAAAACACAGATCGAGTTGAATTTGGTTAGTGTCACTTTAACCATTATTGAGTTATGCCCCTTTATAAATCGAAAGATTGCAAAATTTTAGTTTCCATTCTGTAACTTAAGTTTGCCCCAACCAAACATTATGAAACCTATACACAATATTCATTACCACAAAACTAAGATCAAGTACAAATTTTTGTTTCCGTTTTCTAACTTTAGTTTGCCTCAACCAAATGTTATGAAACTTATACACAATGCTTATTACTACATAATACAGATTAAGTACGAAATTTGGTGAGAACACTTTTACCATTCTTGAGTTATGTCCCTTTATAAACATAAAAATTGCTGATTTTTAGTTTCCATTCTCTAACTTTAGTTTGTCTCAACCAAATGTTATAAAACTTATACACAACAATACTGTTCTAGAGTTATGCATGTTTACAAATAGAAAAATTGCTGAATTTTTAGTTTCTGTTCTCTACTTAAGTTAGCCTCGACCAAATGTTATGAGACTTACACACAATGCTTATTTCCACAAAACTCAGATCAAGTTCAAATTTGGGTAGCATCACTTTTACCATTCTTCAGTTATGTCCCTTTATAACTATATGCTATGCAAGTGGGGGCATCATTTCAAAAATGATGCTATGCCCTTCTGTCAGCAAAAAAAGAGAAAATATCTTACATGTGGATGGGAAATCTTTTTCAGGAATCATATTGGATATTGGATATTATTTTTTCATACATGTATTAGCTAAATATTCATTCTAAAAACTAAGTCTAATTATTCAGAAACTGTTCTTTGCATGTGGTGTCTAGTGCAATATTGTGTATTCTGATTTATAATACATCTCTTGTTCGTGGAATTTTTTTCAGAAAAAGAATTGATAACAGCTCCATTAGATGGTCTAGTCTTGCCAGGAATCACCAGAAAATCATTAATTGAGCTTGCCAAAAAATGGGTATGACTATTAATTGTGGAAAATGTGATAAAAACTTAGACTTTTTAGACTTTTATACAAACAAGTCTTACTTTAAAGCTTTTTAATAAGGCTTGTTCTAAAAAAAAAAGAAAAGTATGAGGGTTGGGATAGGTGTCAAAAGGCCTTTTTTATGTCATCATTCAAAAGAATTTCTCTTTTTTTCACTTTTTTATGTCTGTTTTTAGAAATAACTGCCATACATTAGATTTGTTTTGAATTGCCTTCCAATCCCCTATACATGTATTTCAAGAAACACCATAACAAATAAATTTAAACATTGATTGATTGACAGATGACAGCTACAAATATGTGCATATTCAGAAAAATAACATGTTGATATTTAAAAAGTTCATGTTTTGTACTAGAATGTTGCATTGAGTTCAATTCTTTAAAAACTAACTCAAAGGATGATATCTTGCTCTTATCAAACACAGCACTATCAAAGCTTATCAGTCTTTAAACTATTCTTCTAAAAAAAAGTAAAATAACAAAAATGCCAAACTCCAAGGAAAATTCAAAACGGAAAGTCCCTTATCAGATGGCAAAATTAAAAGCTCAATGACACACTTTGTCTGAAAACCATCAAATATTTATTATAAAACCTCAATATTGAGTTATCCTGCTATTGAACCCATGACTTCCAGCATCAGAAACTACTTGTACAAATCGGGCAGGTAATGGCTTGTTGATAGAAAAGGAATTTGTCTTTTTATAAATCATATCAAATAATTTAATTCAATTCAAGTTTGACAGAAATTGTCATCAAAACAAGTTAATAAAAAATTTAAAAACACAGAATTTAAAAATGGTTTTGAAGGACAGAGTTATCTCCCATACTACATGATTTATCATTTAAAGAGAAGAGCAGTTACCTCCCTTTCTCCAGCTGTTTTCATAAGGCAAACACACACACATTCTATTGGAATATACTTCAGGTTAATTTGGTTGTTATATTTGTGATTGTCAATCTGATATGACAGTTTGAAAATATGAGTTTTCTGTATAGAAGTATGTGGCATGAAATAAATAATTTTCCAAATGGTAAAGACCTGTCACATTAAGGAAATTCTATATTTAGTTTGAAATTTATTTGATTTGCATAATAAATATGATATTTATTTACCATAAGACATGCTTAAAGGCACATGGAAATGTGCTTGAATTTTTTGCAAGCAATTTGCAGAAAGCTAATAATATCCTGTTTTCTACTTAGTGTACAAACATTTGTATGATAGAAGAGTTAAGCCTTTTTTATGTCATCATGCAAAAGAATTTTTTTTTTTCTTCTGTTTTTAGAAATAATTGCCATACATTAAATTTGTTTGCCTTATAAAAACAACTAGAGAAAGGGAGGTAACTGATATTCATTTTTGAATGATAAATCATGTAGTATGGGAGATAACTCTGTCCATCAACACCATTCAAATTCTGCTGTATTTTTTTAAAAATTTATAAGTTGTTTTGATTTTTCAAACTGTAAATTTGTATATGTGTTGAAATTATAAATGGATTCTTTCTGTTTTAGGGAGAATTTAAGGTGACTGAAAGAAGTTATACAATGGCAGAAATAACAAAAGCTTTAAATGAAAACAGGGTAAGTGTTAATATAAGATTCATTTAAAACTTTAAAGTTATTGGCTATTTTATTCAGAGGTATATATTGATCATCGTATCCATTTATTTGTTGTTTTCCAGAGCAGATAGATCTTGAAATTTACTTAAAATGATTGGTGTTTTTATTATTATACCCCTACTTATGTAGTGGGTACTATATTGCAGTCCATTTTTCAGTATTTTCTCACAAGTTACTAAGGTTCTGTTAAAGGAATGATTTGATATTTGTGCTGGACCTTTTTAATATTGGATTGTACCATGCAAGTGATTTTTAAAACTTCAAGGCAATACTTTCCAGTTTTGTAATACTCACTGAGTACACGGTATTGAATTTTTCATCAATGTCTAATAACAAGTGGGTGTATACTTTGCATGACTTCACAAGTACCTTCTAATTTTATCTGAGATAAAGGCATTTTCATGTTAACATGAAAAATAGCACAAGATACTTTTGGGACAAGCTTCTTGTGGAGGAAAGATGTGGTTATGGGCCTTCTGTAAAAGTTTGAACACTATTGTTCCTTAAACAAATGATTGTTTTTAAGACTATGTTAACCAATGCCGATAGAATTACAATGTTATCTTCTCATCTCATTTTCATTTCAGTTAAAAGAAATGTTTGGTGCTGGAACTGCTTGTGTAGTTTCTCCAGTAGAGAAGATATTATATATAGATAATATGTTGAACATTCCCACCATGTCTGAAGGAGCACCCGTAACAATGAGGTTTTTAAAAGAATTAACAGATATACATGTTAGTAGGCTAATTGTATAATTATAGATTCTACCATTGCATTGGGTTTCAAAGTTTTCTTCAAAATGTGAGGCTAGCAAATATTTTAAATTTTAACTGTGCAGAGCGGTAAAATATTAAATTGCATAAGATTCTGTGCCTAAATTTGTTTCTCTAATTAATTTGGCTGATGTGAAGACTGTCTTTAACATTTTTCCCAATGATCTGCAAAAGTATGTGTTCTTTTTATCTGAAACCATTAGACATGGTCCCCTTTTTCATCACATCACAACCACAAAGTCAGAGAAATGCAAGAAAAGTTGACATCATAACTTGATTTTGACCAATGAAGAACTGAGATCAGACACATATTAATTATGAATAAAGAACCAAGCAGTCATGGAAAATATAGATCTTTTAAGAATTAGAGAAAATTGTGTAAACTGGTAATTTTGAATTTGAAAATAAGAACAAAAAGAAGGAAAAGTAAGAGGACATCAAGAGAGCAAACAAAACAGTACTTTGAAGATAGACAACACTGTGGTCAATAGGTTTAACAATTGTTGTTTGATATATGTCCAGTGGCAAATATTTCATGCATATTCAGGCTATGAACAAAATAACAGTAAATCTAAGTTCTGTAAAGTGAGTCAACTGGGATAAAAGGCATAAAAGTGAAAACAATTGACTGCCCAGTGTTAAAAAAGATATTTTGTATAGGACTGTAAACTTGGCCTTGCAACTGGCCACCTTGGACTTCTCAAAGAGGGTTCTTTAATGTAAAGTCACTGTCAATTCCATTTTATTCAAAAAACAAATGTTTAGTTGATATGTAGCTATTTAATTGACTAGGATTGTCAGTTTTCCTGCCTAAGTTCGGTGGTTTTCTCCAGGACCTCATGCTTAACCACTAATAAAAAAACTGACTGCCACAATATAACCAATAGCATTGAAATCAATCAATCTTAGCTATTTATTGTCATTTTTGTCTCGCTATGACGGAGTCGAAAAGCGAGACATAGTAATGCTAATTCCCCCGGTGGCGTCAACAATGTATTAGTTTGTGATTAGGTCAGTTCAAGGGGAACCATTAGTGGTGGGCCAATGTTAATTGGTATGCAGTTGTATAAGTATTAGCACATCTCATTTCCATTCAGAATATTTGGCCCCACCCCCTCAATCATGGTCTATTGACTTTGAAACTTTTGCTTAGTTTACAGAGTATTAGTTTGTGATTAGATCAGTTTATGATGACCCTCTAATTTTAAATCAATGATATTTGGTAAAGTCTTGTTTCCATGGAGATTATATAGCTACAATCCCTCATCATTGGTCATTGACTTTGAAACTTTTACAGAGTTTTCAAGTTAATGTTTGTTTGTGTTTAGGTTTGTTTAAAGGGAACTACTTATGATAAGTCAATGGTATTTGGTATGCAGTTGTATTAGCATTGGCACATCTCATTTCCATGAGATTTTTTAGCCACGTACCTTCAGTCATGGTTCATTAACTTTGAATATTTGCATAACTTACATGTTAAAGTATTGCAATTTTAATTTCAACATTTGCATTATCAAAATTACAAAAAGGCGAGACATATCTCTGTGGTAACAGTTTACGTTTTATATTTACCCAACAACTTTTAAAAGTGTACTCCATTATGTTGTTTTATTGTTATTTTCAGTATGGAAGAACGATCAGTGATTGGTGTGAACCTATAGAATGAAGAGATCTATATTTAGACCAACAAGTGATGTAACAATCGTCCATTGTGGTGCTGGTGGTTTTTCAGTTGAACTACCATATGATGCAGAAATCTCATACCATGTCATGGAATTACAGATCATGTGATATTTATTTGTTAGAATATAAGATCGTGTGATGTGTTTTTGTGCTCAGATCATGTGATGTGTTTTTGTTCTTAGATCATGTGATTGAAGGTGGAGATCATGTGATATTTGCTATTTTATGAACAATTACTAGTATATTTTTTTTTATTCTTATCACTTACTGAATGAATCTCAATTGTAATCTCTATTACAAACCCGGTTAATATTTTAAATTGCTGTTGATTTTTGAATCTCAAAATGTTTTTTTCTATAAAACTGAATTGATTTCTTGAAAGTAAAAATGCATTATAATTATTTTAGTCAAATAGATCTGAAATGAGATTTTTTTTTCCAATAGTAGAATTTTTTTAAGAATTATAGATAATGTAACACTTGTTTCTTTAAATGTCAACAAATGTAGTTGAATGTGAAAATTGTGTGATGTTTTTTTTTCTATTTTAAGAACAAATGCTAGAATCTTTTTTTTATTTTTTTTATCTCTGATTTGATGAATCTCAGTTATGTCCCCTGAAACCTCTTTTCTAATGCTTTTTTTTGTTGGAATCTCATTTTTTAATATATTTTATATAATAAAAGTATCAGCATATACACATAAAATTTAGTTAGATAGTTCTGTAATTTCAAGGTAATCATTTTGTACATTACTAGAATTTTTGAAGGAAATCTTGATCTTTATATATTATTTGTTTCATGTTAATGCCTAAGACTAGTGCTTTCTTTCACTGTTTATAGAATTTTTTTTTAAAAAGTGAATCTTTCACATGCTTTTTACAGTAAGTGTTTGTTGAGATTTTTTTTAATAAACATGAATCTAATGTATGCAAAGAATCTTATTACTGTGGACAATTCTCTACATAGAATTAGATACATTGTATTTTTAAACTTCTTTTTTTTTGATAAATGATATAATAATGAATAATTTAAAAGTAAATAGCCATAATTGGTGAAGAAAAAATCTGCTAAAATTTGAGATCATGCATTTTTTTTTATTATCTTATATCTTATATACTGTTGTGAAGTTTTGAATCACCTTACATTAATGAATATATATGTGTATACACCTTTTGTTCTGAAGAGCTATAAATTTCCTTGTATTTACTTTTACAGGAATAAGAAATGACAAACAAATATTAAATAATTCTTTTTAAAAAAAAATTATATTATTTGGGGTAGAGTATAACATTTCTATGATGTATAATGCAATTGTATCCTTCATCTTAGACTGTTTATATAGACAATGAAATAGTTTTTGTATATTTACTGCATTTTAAATATGTTTTACCTCACAATTTCATTTTATTTTAGATACTCAATCTCTTTGAAGTTATTATTGATTTACTAATTTTCCATGCATGGAATTTTCAGAATTTAAGAATACAAGACAAATTAACGGGTTCCTATTTTTTTTCTTTTTATATAAAGCTAATTTTTTGTTGATTCAGTTATTTTTGTTAGTACCAATTTTTCATGGATTGAAGACAAAGTTTGCTTACAAACCTATAGAATTTCCTACTTTGTTGAACATCTAAATTTGTTGTTAACCTATACCCACCAAATCCATGTAAATTCGCTGTTTCAGAATCTAATGCATTCTGGGTAATATTTTCAAAAGCGTACACCAAAATGTTGTGATTGGTTTAAAACATTCTAAACAATGGAAATTTAACCAGTGACGTGATGTTATTTTCATTTTGGTGTACGAACAATGAGATTACCCATAGTCCTTTAGATTCTGAAAAGGCGAATTAGACACCACAAGTAATACTGAAACTAGTGTACACAGTTAATTGTTGACCCAAGATTTTTTTTAAATTTTTTTGATATGCAGTTATTCTTAGATTTTGTAAACCGGATAATGGAATTTTAATTTAAGAGTCTTTTCAAATTTTAAACACATGAACATATGCTTTTTATTTTGACAGTGTAAATGTATGTCACAACAAACAAATTTAATTCTATATTTCAAAAGAGATCAAGGATATTCAAGAAAATATGTACGGTAGGGTTGGACACCACATTTTATTTTTTCTTTAGGTAATACGGGTAGAAGCAAATATAATTCTCTTACAAATGATAAAAAAGTAATGGGTGGTGGGGTTTAAAAAGGTGATGTCCAACACCCCCTCCCTTTGTATTTTTTTTTTGTGGAATAGCCCTTAAACTATTATGGAAAAAAAACTATAGCTATAAAAAGATTTTTATAATGATCAAATGTTTTTCAGCTATGTAGAATCTAGTTTGAAATTTTAAATGGCAGATGAATGATCTGTGTTGGACCATGTTCATTTCATTATGAATGATATTAATCTGTTGTCTTAATCTTTTTGTTAATGAAATGATTTTTGCATGTTTTAACCTTCTGTTTTTTTTATGTTGACCATTATCTATTTTCAGCAGTGTTTAATTTAGTTTTGATGTTTATAATTATGATTGTTTTTGTTCATTTTATTAAATGTTGTTTGCAGCTATGTTGTTGACCAAGGTTTGTGTTTCTTTTCCTTTTTTATCCCATAATGTAATACTTCACTTTTGTTAATAACTTTCCTGGGTCCTACCTATTTTTTTTTTTAAATAATTTTTGATAAAATGTAATTATTTTGTATTGAACTACATTTATTGTACAACATATTTATGTATATTTAAACAGAAAAAATCCAAACTTTTCAAATAGAAGCATTTACTTGTGTGGTAACATTTTATTGTTTTTGGACGGCATCATTTGTTATGATATACATGTATAAAACAAATTTAGCATTTTAAGATTGAAAATATGTGTCTGAATATGATGACAGTTAGTACCATGTCAGAGTTAATGAATATGTATGATGTAGATTAAAGGTTGAATAATAAACTTTAGTAAAATATTTCAAAGTTATTGTAACTTTTACTTAAACAGAAAGATACACTAGAATTCTGAAAATTGTTATTATCTTTCATAATTCTGAAATTTTCAGTAAATATTAGGTGCAGTCTTTAGTATTTTTTGAATTAAAAAAAGTTAGTATGTTCTATAGAAATAAAATTTGCCACTATGTAATGAAACAGTGAGTTTTGCTATATTAAAAAGAATTATTTAAGTATATTGTGCCATTTTAAATCCTACTTTACAAAATATTGTTTGCAAAATTTGTTTTGTAAATTAAATTGTTTATATTCTCCTTAAAAGTAGGCAGATAAGAATTGGTCTTGTGATTACCTGTATTTAATAAAGACCAGAATAGTCTGCACAAAGGAAATTTCATTAAACCATTTCAAATTTCAAGGAAAAAGTCCTTAAGAAAGTCGAAGGTCTTGTATCGTCAGTGTTAAGAATGGGAGGTCCTTGATTTTTGTGATTCAAAAATGAAGTCCCCACCACGAACAGACAGGTCCCAGGCCTCGGACCCATTTATATAAACCCCTGCATTACTTATTTATTGCTGATGAGGAATTTTTTTTATATATATATCAATTTTGTTTAGTGTTCAAAATATAAGACCTCATATATGGCCTGAGAACACAATTAATTTGTAGTACATTTCTTTTAGACAATAAATGAAATTTTTTTAAATCACTCCTGCGCTTCTCAATAATAATATTACTGTGTGGTGTACTACTTTTGGAACAAATTATATTAAATTTATGGAAAACCTCATCAGCTCTATCTCAAAATATGGACAATTTTATGTTAAGGGGTCATGAAACAAGATGAAATAAATTTAGAAGGATATGAAAAAAATTGCAAGTAAAATACTGTCTACACTAGGAAATATATTTGTTAACTGTGTTCCTGAACCATATGTTACGAGTCAAGTACTCATATAGGATAACTGTTATACTACAAAACTTTAATTTGTTTTGATACCTATGGTTATGACAGTTCTATGCAAAATGATATCAAGGGCAATAACATGTTTTAGATGTGACATTGTAAAATTGCAGATTTTGTATCCTTAAAAAAATGCTTTCACATGACAGTGGGTATGAGAGTTGTATATATAAGTTCAAAATGTCATGTTCTGTTTTCATAGCTGAAGAAAGGAGAAGGGTTATTTCCCTTCAAAAAAAACTATTTCTCTTTTTAATTTGTCAAATTCAAAATTACTGAATATTTGAATATATATTATTTTTACTTTACTGTGTTAGATTTACCGTAAATTTGATATTAATATTTTTGTAAAAAAGATTTTTTTTTTTAAATGGTAGAAAACGGAATACTCAAAAGGAAACATAAGACACTTATAAATGTATAAGATTGGCCTGAAAAACTATATTTAATATGTGCCATTTCAGTTCCATTTTGATATTATGTATTTGAATTTGTACTATGTGGATACATTATTATTCGTTGGGTACCAGTTTTTGTGGACTTGTTGGTATAAATAAACTGCAAATTTTAATTTTTAATGAAGTACTAACTCTCTACAGGCTAGTATGGAGACTTTGGCAAAATATTCATGAAAACACTTTTCCTCATTTCACAAAAATTGGTACCCATGAAAATAAATAAACTCACAGTAGTTGCTAATATGGCCTCAGATGTTTTATTATATTGTTTAGGTTGATTGGTTTGGTATTTTTTTTTGTATTTATGTTTTTTATTTTTTTTATTATTAATGTGTATAGAGATCTGTTTTATCTTCTGTAATAAACCTCATCTTTCTTTGGAAACAAACATTAATTGGTTTCACTCACTCCTCCAAAATAAGACTATCAAAGTACTGTGGATTCATTATTATTCGTTGGATACCAATTTTCGTGGATTTAGTGGGTAAAAATGAACCACAAATTTTCAAGTTCAACAAAGTACACATTTTGTATAGGCTTTTATGCAGACTTTGGAAAAAACACAAAATCAAATATCCATGAAAATACCATTTTTCGTCAATCCAAGAAAACTGATACCCAAGAAAATAAATGAATCTACAGTTTACCAGCCTAATATTTATACTGCTAGCTAATAATTTTATTTTTTGTATGTGCTTATTGATATTCAAGAATTTCTTCTTTTCTCAAAATGTCATCAAACTTGACAGCATTCATTTTTCTCTGATAACATAAAAGAAAATCACAGTGCTTGGTCATATTATCATGTATGATGCTGAAGTTTATTCTTGATTTATTATTGGCTTATTATTTAAGCAGGTTCAATTATGTAATGATGCAGTGTAAATCCGACTTCATGAGTGTGTGGAATCATGCGACTTAAAATGCGTTTCTATTTCTATTTTTTTTTTACAATTTGATGGCTGAAAAACATAGTCTCCTCCAATACACCACCAAATGAAGATATTTTGGAATGAGATGACCCAATACTGTATTGCCATTTCTTATATACATGACATTCAAGTCTTTCAAAATATATCCGATTTTTATTCAGTTTTTTTTGATAAGTTCACAATTTTCTTTTCTTTTTCTAAGTGTAGAAAAATACTCACAATTTACAAAGTTAAATGGGACTTCAATTAATCATCTACAAGTTTGTTGACGTCCTTTAAGCGCATTAGTATTGTGTCTACCATTTTTATATCCCTAACTCTAGAAGGGGGCCATTTTACAATAACCTTGTCTGTCCATAGAATAGAAATAAATGAAGTAAAAACTTATACAATGGAAAATTTTCTTGGGAAAAAAATTATTGTTCAAATTGGGTTGGGTAAAAGGTTGGAAATTTGCATTTGGTTTAAAATTTTGAATAAGGGAGAATTTTAAAACTACCATTTTTTTATTCCAGCTAGTTGAAAATGACGGCCATATATTTAGGTATCACAGATATCAAAACAAACGAACACATATTGTCTTACAACGAAAAATCCCATACTGTTATCAGCTATGTACAAAAAGAAAGTGGGAGAGGGTCCAAAGTTTTGAGGAAAGGGATGCAATTGTCTGTAATGATTAAATTGTGTCTACATAGTGAGGGCAATCTTGTTTTTGATGATTTTATGTAAAAAAAATAATATTTTTTTTGGATGTGCTCTACGCTCCCACCTGAATCCACCATTGATGTATTTTATTTCATTAACAAATTCTTGGGTTAACAGTTTAAGAGTTCAAAGTAATTATAATGATGAACTCAGCTGTCGGCTTTGAATAAAAGTGTAGTTATTTTCATCTTATTGAATGTATGATGACAAACCGTACTATAATTTTCAGTTAGTTTCATTTTGTAGTTTTGTGATTGAATTTTTAATTGTTTTTGTTGCAGCTAATTGTTATCAATAAAATTGTGTGCCACTAGGAGATTTGTTAAATTTGGTGTTTGTTTTGATTTGGCCTGTCTAGGAGGTATATGTGTGTTGTGAAACAACTATTCTAGTTTTGACAGCTTTCTATGTTTTTATATTTGTAGTTTGGAAGGGGTTGACTTGGGATCAGTTAACAGTTTATTTTAACCACTCGTCTAGCATGTAAAGAGCAAAAAGTTGTGGGATTTAAATAAAAGACATTCTAATACGAGTATGAAAATTTTATTTTGATTCTTTTCACATATAACAATATAAACTTAAGCTCTTAAAGAGCTTTTTACAGAATATAAATAACATATACATAACATACAAACAGAGAGCATGCAGATTAGATATATAAGCAGCATATATAACTATGCATAAATATAGCACAGGCATATTGAAATACATTCAAAGCAATATTAAAATTTTTAAACACATCAATAAAATTGAGAATGGAAAAAGGGAATGTGTCAAAGAGACAACAACCCGACCAAAGAGCATAAAACAGCCCAAGGCCACCAATGGGTCTTCAACACAGCGAGAAAATCCCGCACCCGGAGGCGGGCTTCAGCTGGCCACTAAACAAAAATGTGTACTAGTTCAGTGAAAATGGACTTCACACTAAACATGCTAAAACTGAAGCATAACTAAAATTAAAGCACCACTAAAATGTAAGCACAACTAAAAATTAGGCAAACCTTATTTAAAACACAATGAACATTTTCTGTTGCATCATCAGACTCCCCTCTTTTACAATGTCAATTTAATAAAGTCAACAGGAACATATTCTACATTGCCAAATGCATGAACTGTATAAAGCTGCTTAAAGAATTAAGAGCAACATTTGATTGTTCAGAGTTCCTCGAAAAGTGGTTTTCGGAGGTTTTGACCACCAAAATTTTTCAAAGGACAGACACATTTTGGTATATTGAAATAGAAATAATACTGAGGACCAGCAGATTTTTTCCAAGGACCACCATGGAAAAAAAAATTGAGATTATTGTACACTGTTTTGCTGAATTGTTTGTGTGTTATTTTCAAGAGAGAAACTTACTTTCTCATCACAAATTCATTATAAACCTAGTTGTACAAGTACGTTCCTTAACCATTCCTGACATTTTCCAATAAATGATTGATTGTTGGTTGCTTAATGTCCAGTGGTTTTGCAGTAGAATTTAAACCTTCAGCTTTTGTAGAAAATGTTAATTAGAATTGAAATATCTATGGAATTGACTTGACTATTGGAAAGTTATAATGAGGATGAGAGTCGTCACTGAATTTTTACTTACCATGAGCAACATGACAGGTGCCACTATTGAAGCAGGATCCCTCCCAGAGAACCTGAGATCCGTCCCAGTATTCGATGAGGTTCATGTTGCTCAAAATTTTTTTTTCTATGTAGTGATTTGGAAACTATTTTGTTTTTTGTGTTTTTCTTTTTTTTTGCCATGGCCATGTGAGTTTCTCTCAGTTTATGAGTTTTAAATGTCCTGTTAGCATTTCGCGACTCTCTATTTGTTATTATACAGAAACCTGTTTGATGGAGTCTTAATGATATCCAGTCTTTTTTTTAACTTCTACCTGTAAATCATGAAAAGGTACGTTTGTGCTTATCATGTAATATGGTGAAGCTGTGGGAACTGGTCTCCACCACTTACTTGTGTGTCAAGGTTTTAGATTCGAAATATCAATATACTAAAATTTATGCATATTTTGTACTTGTTATTATACCCCATGGTATAATATTTTTGACCCGTCCGTCAGTCCTGTTCTTGTCATTGCAACTCCTCTGAAACCACAACAGAATTTCACGAAACATCGTAGACAAGTACATAATATGCAGATGTGCATATCGACAGGAAATTGTGATTAAATTTTTTTTCTATGAATGATGCCCTTTTGAACATAGAAGTTTGGCCTAAATATCACAGGCACTTGTCTCTGAAAAAAAATCCTATATACCGTAATTTTTGCAGAGACAAGTGCCTGTGATAAATATACTACTGTAGCAGTTTGTAATCGCAACTCCTGAATCCACACAACAGAAATTCATGAAACTTTGAAGATGATTAGGACATAATGTTTAGAAGTGCATATCGACAGAAATGTATGATTCAATTTTTTTTCTAAGAGTTATGCCCTTTTTGACTTAGAATTTTGGCCTAATTATACTCCTGCAACAGGTTGACATCGCAACTCCATTGAAACCACAAAACATAATTTCATGAAACTTTGTAGATAATAAGAACATAATATATAGATGTGCATATCCACAAGAAATTTTATCAGTTGACTTTTGTAGGAGTTATGAATCTTTGAACGTAGGAATCTGGTGAGATTTTGTTTGCCCAGTGACAATGTGGGGCGTGGGGTATGTGAGCATGTTCACAAATATTCTTTACTTTTATATTCGCAGTGCATGAAAAGTGTTGGCATAACCAGATTTTTGTCATGTAGTAATTCACGATGTTAATTATTGTCTTCCATTGTTTTCAGATGGAATTTTTATTTTATGGAATAAAATTTAATATGCATGTATGATTAAGGATGCTTGTTCACACACTTTCATTTTTTTTCGTGATGCTGCATTAAGTGAACATCAATGAATCAATCAATCTTTTCCAGTAGACTTTGAAACTAGTCAATGCATTAAAAAAATATTCTTTTGTAGGAATTTTAAATATTGGAAATAACAAGTGTTGTGTTTTTCCATTTCTGAATATACATGATGTATATTTCTTTCCCTTGTTAATTTAGTGAACAGAAAACAAATTAAATCCTGGGACCTCATAACCAACATTAAAATATCCTCCAGAGAAGAATATCTTGACCTTTTATGAATAGAACATTTGACTCTTCTATATCATGTAGGACCAAAAGCAGGTACAGGAATGATATCATATTTTTATTTTATGGCTGTTATTATAAATAGAAAGCAAATTAGAAAGGAATACATTCTTCCATTCTCAAGTGATTTCAACAACATCTTTTATCGAATTAGACCTCTGTAACAGAAATTCAAAATTGAACCGTGGAAGTCTATTTACTTTTAGTATAAAAAGGGAATATTAATTTTAGCTCCCCAATCCTTTTGATCTACATGTTTTACTATGTAACTAATTAGTTAAAATCATATATTTTGTACTTAAATGTTTCATTTCTGATCAGATGTTCATCAAATCAGTTTCAGAATTTTACAAATTTGACCACGATTGAAGCACAGATTCTTTTTTTTTAATCAACTATATAAATCAGCCAGATTACTTTATATTTTAATTATTTGAACTCCAGAGTCAATATAAATAAAACTATGGTCAAATGAAAAAGAATTTTCTGATTCATTTTCCGCTGACCTGATTTGAAGAAAATTATTTCCGGAATGGAATCAAAATGTTTTTAATATAAGATTTTATATTAAATATTATAAAGGAGGAAAATCCTGTAAGTTTCAACAACCAACAGTACAAAAATTACAAACTTGTATCATTACTTAAATTAAATTCTCAACTGAACCCTTGGAATAAGATAAAGTTATTCGTTTCGCTTACATCTCAAACCCGATCCCGAGCCACCTAAAAAAATGTGTTGACCATTGTATCACATATTACATGAAATTGATTTCTTTTATAGACAGCTTTAAATTGTGATTTTAATTTTATTTGTGTTTTTGTTGCAGCAAAATGTTTATAAAATTGTGTGCCACTAGAAATTTTGTCAAACTTGGTGTTTGTTTTGATTTTGCCCGTCTATTAGGTACACGTTTGTTGTCAAACAACTATTCTAAATATAATTTTCCTCACTTCCTATGTTTATATTTGTATTATGGATTAAGAGGTAGTTTTGGTTTAAGTAAATTTTAACCATCTGTCTCACATGTTTAAAGCAGAGAACTGTGGGATATATTATGGTATTCTGTTTTTATACAATCGCATAAGCCGTTTGAAAACATTTGGTTTCCAGACAATAACTTTAGTTTAAGTGTATGGATCTCTATGAAATTGTACCATAAGATTTCATACCACAAAAGGAATATTGGGATTGATTTTAGGGGTGATTGTCCTGACTGTTAAGGAATTACGGACCAAAAACAAGCGTTTTTCTTGTTTCAGGACAATAACTTACGGATCTCTATGAAATTGTACCACAAGGTTCTATACATCAAATGGAAGGTTGGGATTGATTTTGGGCGTTATATGGCACTAATCGTTTACGAAAAAGGTGCCAACAACGATACTTTTCTAAAACTTTGTATAAATTGCTGATTTCTTGAACAATTTCAATGGGGTTTAATTCAAAACCTTGAATTCTTGGAGTTCTTTAATATGCTGAATCTGACCGTGTATTTAGATTTTGGATTTTTGGCCCCGTTTTTAAATTGGTTCACATTAAGGTCCAAAGGGTCCAAAATTAATCTTTGTTTGATTTAAATTCTTGGGGTTCTTTGATATGCTGAATATAGCTGTGTATTAAGATATTTTTTCTTGGGGGTGGGGGAGGGGGGGGGGGCGAAAATTTTATAATTTGAGACGCTATCAAAATGACTATTAACATTGTTGTAAATAAATATATAAAGATTTATATATGTAAAAGGGAAATAGATAACTTAAAAACAATATTAAACTGTTGTGTTTTCAAATCACATATTTTCTGTGCCAAATGGACAGTTAAAAACCCTATCAGCTCGAAATAATTATAGTCCTTTATTGTTATAATTTAAGCCGGAATCGCATTCATATAAATTTATTAATAAAAGGAGATGTTCGGTTTACGTCAATGAGACAACCAAATGATACTAGTAAAACGCCCTAAAATATATAAAAAGTTGCCACTGGACATTCTACAGCCATCCGTTCGTCCATCCATGCAGGTTATTTTATGTCAACTTAACTTATAAAAAGGTTTGTTCTCTGACACCAACGGGCTAATTTTGATAACACCTGAACTGGAGGATTCCTAAAGCAATCATTACCAGACAGGTATTAAGAATTTTGTCCAGTCAACTCCTGTGAAAACCATGAATTTTT